TTTCCCTATACATGCTAGGTGATGTTTGACCTTGGCAAGTGAAAAGCAGGCATTAAATACCTTTTAACCTACATCTAAGATCCACTGAGGATTACATGAAGCTTGAACAATGAAAAAAACCAGTTATTACTAGATTACTGAGCTATGTCATTAATCTTTATTGTTTTATGATATAAAAACAATAGCAATTTAATATTGTATTTTATGTTAGTTTTGAACATTTAGGGAGAATTATGGATATTGGCAGGAAGTAATTAAAAGAAAACAAATCACTTGACTGTTTTAAAGATACCTAATACCTTCCAATGGGATACAGTATTATTAATTTTCCCTGAGTAGAGAAGTTGTTGAAATTTTGATGATGTAGACTTAAACAATAACCAGCAGTTTCTGCCCACATTTGCTTACTCGTGGAATTAAATACTGCAGTAGATTTGCAATTCAGAATTTGGTGGGAAAGTCACCTTTTGTCTCTCCAGTATGTTATGAAATTGGCAATATAGTAATATCTTTAAATGGTACTGTCAGCATATAGTAAGTATGCTGGATTGTGCCAAGTAATTATAAGCCACTCAGCTGGCCATTGTCCACATCCTTATAGTTCAAGTTGCAGTTCACATAGAAGGAACTTGCAGTGAGCAATATTAATTCTCACTCTCCTTAGCTCTTTGGCAGGTGGTCTTATCAACATTTTATTTATTTATTTAAATCTTTATAAATGGCTTGAGTTGAGGTGATTTGTGTGGTCTGAAGTCTATGCAGAGGAATCTCTCTTTGACAACAGGTAAAAATGTAGATGCTCTGGGCTTTTGTTTGTATGATTCTAACTGGCATGATAAGAAATACAATTATTAAGTCCCAATACATGACAGTTTCTTGAGGAGGGCTGACACTGAGATTACAATGATCATATACCCAAAACCTAACTTTTACAATTGTATGCTTACTTCATATGTCAGAATATCGTTCTCTTATTTGACAGGCAGGGGAAATACATTACCTCCAGATAACCTAAATCTTATTATCTTACTGAGTATCAATTTCAGCAGACTTCTGAAAATTTAAAAATAATCAATGTTTTCACAAGAAATACAGTGCTAAGATACAAACCAGTACAGTTTTAGCTGGCTACCCTAGAACTGGTTTTAGCCACCAAATAGCCTCTAAGTACTCCAACTGTATTCAGAATTAGGTGCATTAAGTATTTTGAAATAGCAGCTGCAGCTGAGGGCACGTTTTGAACAGACCTGGAGTGCCTTTTCCAGCAGCTATAGCCCATCTCCCTCCCTTTCCTTGCTGGTGGTGTTGAAGGAAAAATGTGAACATATCCACAGTGAAGTCTAGAAAGTATCAACCAGCAATCAGTGATGAAGGCTGTGGAAGAAAAAATGTAAGGAATTTGCTGTCATTGAATTATTCAGCCATGATAACTGATATGAGAGGAGTGAGGGTAAGGCTAGATAGTATAAGGAGGAAGAGATGAAGTGGAGTTCATAGACAGAGTTGCTAAAGCAGAGCTATTTGAGTGGAGATCAGAGTGTCTGGTTCCTGTAGCCCATGTAAGGTTTCAGCAGGCAATTCACTAATTTCATGGTTGGTTCCCTTTTTTTCTGGAGGATATGCACTATCTGCAAAGGTGAATGTGGGTGCATTTGTAGGGCCCTCCTTAACATTCCTGTGTTGAGTATCCTCACTGTATTTTCTGTCTCCATGTGTACAGTCTGGCTGAATTATTCTGCCCATGATAATTCACAATCTGTTTAGAAATAAAAATATAACTCTCATTACAAACATGCAAGATTATGTACAAATAGCAGTATCTTCTCTCTAATTTCAGTGGTGGCAATTTAAAAAAATTGTTTTAAAAAGAGTTGTTTTAATATATGCTAAGTCTGTAGTACTTAACGCTGCCACATCATTCAGCATCTCAAAGACAGTGACAAAAGGCATCCTTTTTGGCCATGAATTCTGCTATTTACCTGGAGACTACTGATTTGGAAATTACCCTTTTCTTCCTGTGCCCATGCCTCCTCACTCCAGTTCTCTGTGCTGCTGGCTGTGCCTGAAACTGGGAAAGAGAAAGGATCTGCACTGCCAAAGCCTGGATGCCCTTGAAAAGAGTAAATGCTTTTTAAGAGCGAGAGTGTGCATCTCCTGAGGAGCAGCTGGCCAGCTGGGCCACAGGCACTCCTACATGTCTGGGTGACCAGATATCAGACAGACACATTCTTGTCAGGAGGTGTGTGCCTGCTGATGGGGAAGCTGGCAGGAGCACTTTGGCTCTCATGAGTCTGCTGCCTCTTCCAGGAGACCTGTGCTATTTCCCAGACCTTCAGGAGACCAAATGGCACCTGCAACTTGTCAGTCTATAGTAGGTAAAAAAATGACCAGGACACATCTGGGTCTGCAGGCTGTAATACACTTTTCAGGAACACTGAAACCCAGACTGTTTGAAACCTTCTACATAAAATATATTAATATTTGGAATCATTTAGGATGGAAAAGATGCTTAAGATCATTGAGTCCAGCTGTAGGTCAGTAAGATTTTAAGCAGTTCATAGAGACAGAGGGCTATTCAGTAACTTTAGAGTGAGCTGCATCTTGTAAATGGCTCCAACAAATTGTATCAGGAATGAAGTGCTACTTTAGGATGGTCACATAAACAAAAAGTTCACTCAAATCCTTGCATATCTATTTTTCAGGTGCTATGTGTTCATTACAATAGTTATGAAAGAAATGAGACATCCAGTGCAGTGCTTCCTTTTTTCCCATCTTTAGATCTTTGTTGTCAGAACTTTTACAGACTACTGTTGAGATAAAAAGCCAAAACTTCTTCACAGTCTGTTGTGTTGGCACTGCACACTTTTTATTGTGTAACTAATTTACAAAATTATAAAAATCACTTTTATATACAGAAGGCATGAATCAAATTAACAAATTAAAGAAATAATGCTGTGTTTTCAGCTTTTTAAAACAGATACCTGCATGGAAGATTTAAAAAGCAATTTGACGTTAAAATAAAGAATGCTACTTGTATTAGGATATATAAATAAATTCTGCAATACCTCACTATTACTCTGGAAGCTATTCAGTTGAAGTCAGTTCCAATAAAGTCATTTACTGCAGTGATATAAATGCTGTTTCACTATTTGCCTTCCTGTATCCTGCCACACATTCTGTAGGTCTACTCCCGTATCTTAGAAGTTGAAAGCAGCTGCTTTAACAAACTTGAGATGAAAACACAGTCATTTTGTCCTCATCTAGCAAGCTGAGATGCTATATATTGGAGGGCAGCATCACAACCACTAGTTACTTAGGAACAGCTCTACCTCCTCAAACTCACTTCCAGCACCCTGAGATGCGTCCTATCCAGTTACAAAGACTTGAATATATCAAATTTGCCTGATTCAGTCATCATCTACTGTTAGTAGTATTTAGATGTGAGGGAAGGCCTTGCCATTAAACATTAAACATTGATGATTTCAGAGCAATCTGCAGTACTGTTGTGGGGTTTTGGTGTGTTAGAAGTACCAAAAGGGAAAAAAATAAGGCATCAATGTCTGAACACCTCCCCTTGGTACTGCCCTGACCATCATCAGGAAAAATAAATAGACACATAAACTTTGTGATCACTGTGTACACACACAGTGTTTGAATTACTGATCCATAGTTCACATTTGTACATTAGATCACTAACCAATGAAAAATTTCCAATTTTTCTTAAATGTCACACTAAGTGTTTAAGATGTGCCCACTGATTTTTTAGGATGAGGATTCAGACATGATCTGTTAATCTGGGAAATTATGTGTTTGTAATTCACAGTGTAGCTGATAAAAGCAAAGGGATCTGAAAGGCTCTTCCATGTTTTTCTTATGATTTTTTATCTGTGTGTTGTGCAAAGTAGCTATCTTGACTAACAGGCTCTGAGGGGAATCAATTATGAATCTGCTTATTTACAGTCAGTAAATCATAAATGTTATATATATTGTGACTGTAACAAATAAATTTTACTTCACTAGGGAAAAAAACCAAACAAACAATGGGTTTTTACTTTGTCACATGGCCTTGAAGTTCTAGGAGTTCACTGCTAAAAAAATATGTATTTGAACCTTACCTCTTCAATCAAGTAACACTGTAACCAGAGACTACAGAAATGAGTGACTACATCTTTCTGTTCTCTTAATTCTGAGCAGAATTAATTGCTGCATCAAAACCAAGATAAATCAGAGCCAGCTGTGAAATGATCCGTGGAATAGACTAATACTTTAATTCAAAAAGAGATTTGGACCAATAAGATCTCCCTTTCTTGGAGAGTTAATATATTAGACTGTCAT